GGGGGGGGGGGGCACACTCCCAGGAGGGAGAAGGAATCGGGCTGAGAGAGGAGCTCTGGAGCAGGGAGCTGCCACTTATGTCCCAAGCCAGGAGAGGGTGCGCTAGAACGGGAATCATGCCATAACCTTACTTAAACACACCCCTGTATCTCAACTGAGGCATGTTGGTCACAAAGGTTTAAGCCAAGGGAAGTCAGTTAACCAATATTAAAACTAGTACTTGTCCTGATACTTGTACATTTAATCTCTCCTAAGGTAGAGGATTTCTCAAATATTTTCAAGAAATATAAATACTGAAGTTACAGTGAGAGTTTTTTTCTTTTCTTTTTTTAATATATCTTTATTGATTTTAGAGAGAGGAAAGGAGACGCAGAGAGAGAGATAGAAACATCAATGATGAGAGAGTCATTGATCGGCTGCAGCGTGCAACCCGGGCATGTGCCCTGACCGGGAATCGAACCCTGATCGCCTGGACCCTAGGTCAACGCTTAACCGCTGAGCCACGCCCGGCTGGGCAGAGTCTTTTTTTTCTTAACAGCAATAAAAACCGTTTCTATGTGCTCCCTCTCCATCAACTCAGAGTGTGAGGCTGTGTTACCCTATATGGGGAATCAGTCAGAGAAGGGCCTGCCCTGAAAGAGCTCAGAGCGCACAGGCTAATCAAGGACTGAAGCAGTATGCACACCAGGCCCCTCGGGCAGCCCTGGGACAGGTGTGTCACAGCAGCCTGGCCTCTGACAACAACGGACTCCAGTAACACCTCCTGAAACTGGACGCAAAGATCCCGACAAATGTGAGGGGTTCTGGAGAGGAATTTCGTGAGATTCCCCAAAGAATCTATGGACTCAAACAGACTGAGTCCTATTCGCACTAAATGACTGAGTTCAAGAGGGAGTTATTCTGATCCCAGAAATGGTTAAAGGGTTATAAAACCTGACACTCCACCAGGGATAAAGCCAAATCACAAATGTTTACATAGCAAAAACCCTTTAGTCCACAATTTCAGAAGAAAGGAATATTTGAAAAATACACTAGGAAGAATGTGAGAACAAAGAAACCTTTACACAGACCCAGGCGCACAGCTGTTCCTATCGCAGGTGACGGCTGCCATCTGTGAGTAAATGCACAGCGAGTCCCAGGTTTGACAGCGTAACTGGGAGGAAGTATATTGTGCTCACGGGACTTAGAATAATACCCTCGTCACCACAGAAACAAACACTGAGACAAACCCCTGCTGCTGTTGGGGCGGTGACCTCTCGAGGCCGTCACAGCCAGACCCACTCTGGCACGACCGCCTGTGCTCTCCTGGCCTGTGTGTCGGTGAACCTCAGCTGGGGTTGATCCAGGGACAGCCCATCCATCGCTATTTTCGTCCACATGTCTGGTGCAGGCCAGAGCATTCAGGTGGTGAACTCAGTGCTAACAAGTGCTGGCACCTGATGAAAGTGCTTGCGACACATTTCAAAGTATGGCTGCAGTAGCGTCTCATTACCTTCAAGTCTGCACTTTAATTCTGAAGGCTTTCAATGCTAATCAAGTACAGGCAAACCTCAGTTCTCGAACATCTCCCATCTCCAACAATTCGCTTCTTCACCGACCACCCCTTCATGCTGACCTGTACCTGTGTGATCAGTCTCACGTCTCTCAGGCAACAAAAAACAGAACGAGTGAGTATGAGTCAGTTTACCGCTAACCCTCACGTTGTTAACATCTTAGGAAATTGTGCAGTGAATATTTTCATGGTTTTTTTTGCTTTTGTTGCAGCTTATTATTAAATTTTAATTTTTTACTGTACATTTCCTTTTTGTTAAAATTTCATTTACATTACATGTTCTTTTTGTTTTTAAAGTGTTTACAGATTAAATAGTACAGTAGACATGTACTGTATAAAGAAAGGTGAAACGGAATCACTGGGGGGTCTGGAGTGGATTAATTCAATTTACATTACGTCTAGTGGGGAAAAATCATTTGGTTTTCAAATAGCCTCCAGAATGAATTACGTTTGAGGACCGAGGTTCCTCTGTAGACTATTTCTAGTTTTGCAGCTACCATGTACTTCCACTTGGAAAGCAAGACAAGGACCGCACGAGTACGTGAAGCGACTGCTGTTTCTGTAAATCAGCTGTAAGTTACCTAAAAAGAGGAAGTGGATCGTAAGTACCTGAGGCAAGAACTCTTTCGCCAGGTCCAAGGCCTTTCTATAGGCTGCATCGCCCCCCGGGTTCTGTTCCAGAACGTGGCTGACCAAGCCCACTGCCTTGGCTTCCTGGCCATCCAGCACCCGGGCAGAGAAGATAAGCTCTTTGGCCAGGGACATCCCGATGGCGCGAGGCAGGCGCTGTGTTCCCCCTGCAGAGTGAAGAGAGAAAGTGCAGGCAGTGAGCGAATACCCTCTAGGTTTAACATTTCACTATTTTACTTCTTTATTTACAAAAATAAACCAGGGCCATACGTTTACATGTCAAAATTAGTAACTGGAAAGCTACTTCAAAACAGACTCTAATCTCTGAATTAGTTTATCAAATGAATATCAAGAAGCACGTGAGAATCTCGTGTCATCGTTAAGTGACTCGGGTACTAGCTATTCCTTGCAGCACAGCCAGAGAGCTCCGGAGCCGAACCCACAGCTGCAGCCACAGGAAGAGTCACAGGGCACGCGCTGCCCGCAGCCATTCCCAAGGCGTCACGGACAGGTCCACCAGGTTAGGCAAAGCTCATCAAATTCTGAGAAATTCAACTCATGTGCTTTTAAAGAATCATTTATGGTAAATGGCATGTGAACTAACTCTAATTTAGTAAAAATAAAAACAGGTGGTTCCTCATGAAAATAGGATCTGTGCTGATAGTCATTTCTCAGTGCCAGTATTAATGGTCCCTGACACTGGGGCCAGGAGCTCATTCAACAGAAAGCTGGACAAGGGCAGGCACTTTCTTACTCGTAGCCTCAATATGAAAACAGATGCAATATTAAGATCCATCTAAACCTTATCATTAAAGTGGCCGCTGGGCTCCCCAGGCCACCGGTGGCCCGGAGGCAGGTAGTGGCTGATGGCCAAGTTTCAGAGGAGAGAAGACACACGCTCACAGTGTTCCATTTGGTCCAAAGTTTACACTTTTCTTCTGTATTAGTTGCCAATGACAAAACTGGGAGGGTGATTTCCTAGAAAAACCAATTTCCACCTGACAGTGAACAGGGCTGCCCCACCCCACACTCCCTTCTACAGGCTGCTCCACCTCTGCATGGGAGGTTTGCTTTCCTTTACACGCCTTCCAAAGGACAGCAACACTTCTTACTTGCATCTCAATCAAAAGTGGAATAATGAAAAATAAAGATCACAGGTTTTGGGAAAGCACATTCCCTTCGGTAACTTGGCATGTTCCCGAGTTTCACAGACAGGTCCATCAGGTTAGGCAAAGCTTAACCTCCTACACGAGAAGAGCTTAACCTCCACACCAAGAACCATGACCAGCACTGAGAGAGCACAGTGGTCAGGACTGACATCTTCAACAGGGCCTGTGCACTGACACAAACACAGTGAGTACTGCTTCTGTAAAACAGCTCTTCATTAAGTTGTTTACACTGCCCAAGCAGTGAGAAATGGTGAGTTTATGTGTTTTACCCAATATGGCAGAAACTGTGTCTGAAAAAAATGAAGCACTGGCAAATTTAAATCGAACTGCAAACAATGCTACTACTGCTCAGTGTAGTAAAGATAGATTTGAGAACTGTGGGGCAAGCTGCATGGAAAATACAGGTTATTTACAGTGTTTCCAAGGACAGCTGATTAGAACAGAGATATAAATAATGCAGCCCAGATAGCTATATTTACTCATGGAGCTGATTAGAACTGTCAGGAGACAGAGGAACTTATGGATATAGTGCTCATGATAAGCACAACAAAAGGAAATTATTCTTGTGTTCTGTAAAAAGTTAAATGTAGATTGGTCAAAATAACAAATGTGATCCTCAGTGGTTAATGTTAAGTAGCACTTTTTATTCAGCTGAAACTCAATATTGTGCAAGTTCATAAGGCTTAAGCCCAGTTATCCTATCACTTCGCTTATACTAGCACATTCCCCAGGAATGAGGATTCTGTAAACATTTAACGAAAGAACAGTCACAAAACTAACACCGTGAAACAGACCCACCACCTTGAGCTGAACGCTATACGTTTCAACACTTTTCTCAATGAACCAAACGCTGGAGGACAGGACACCAGGTTTAGAGGTCATGTTTTCTGATGAAAACAAGCATCACAGAACCCGAGGGAAAACCCTCATCTTGGCTCACCCACTAACACTGCACCCAAGACTTGGCTTTTTGGGTGACATCATGAGCCATCCACTCCAGGTTCTTCATATAAGTGGAATCATACGGCATTTGCCCATTTTACAACTGGCTTATTCCACTGAGCTTGTCCTCAGGTTCATCCAGGTTGTGGCCTGCTTCAGAATTTCCTTCTTTGGGAACGTTCCATTGTACGGGCATACGGTGCTTTGTTTCTTCCCCCTTGATGGACAGGAGGGTTGCTCCACCTTTTGGCTTTAGGACAATGCTGCTATGAATGTGTGTGTACAATTCTTTTGGGTAGACAGCCAGAAGAGGAACTGTTGGATCATAGGGTGACTCTCTTTAATTTTTGAGGAACAGCCATACTGTCTTCCATAGCAGCTGCACCATTGTACATTCCCATCAAGAGGGCACAAGTACTCAGTTTCACCACATTCTCCTAACACTGGTAATTTTCTGCTTTTGTGTTCCGTTTTTGTTGTTCAACAGCAGCCACCCTAATGGGTGTGCAGCAGTATCTCACTGTGTTTTCTGACTTGCATTTCCCTAACGACTCCCGATGCTGTCATGTGTTTATCAGCCATTGGCATCTTCTTTGAAGAAAAGTCTATTTAAGTCTGTTGCCCATTTTTTAATTGTTTTGTTGTTGCTGAGTTGTAGGAGTTCTTTATATATTCTGAATACCAATCCCTTACCAGCTAAATGGTCAGCAAATACTTTCATGGGCTGCCTTCCCACTGCCTGATGCACAGAAGTTTTGAATGTTGATGAAATCTAGTTTGTCTGCTTTTGCTTCTGTTCCCTGTGCTTTTCATGTCATAGTCAAGAAATCACTGCCGGGTCCAATGCCACTTAGTCTCCCCACTGTTTCCTTCTAAGGGATTTGTACTTTCCACTCCAACAGTAAAGCCTCTGATCCATTTCAAGGTACTTTTTGTGTGCAATGCAGGGTAAGGGCCCCGCTTTGTTTCTTCCAGGTGGAAGTGCAGCCTTCCCAGCACCGTTTTTGAAAGGGGCTATCTTCCACAGTTGCACAGTGTCTGATTTGATTCCCTCACTCTTACTGAAGCGCTTTTCCTTAAGAAACCTGTTTGGCCCACTCTCCTACGCTGCAGTCAGTTTGCAGAAATCTAAGACTGATCGTCGAAGCTGTGTTTTTACATTTGTGGACGTGAAAAGACCCAACCCCTACGACTTCCAGGAATATCAAATTTGTGATTTCAAATTTTGTAAAAATGATGCAGCCTGTTCAGTTTGCCTTTCTCAATTAATGCTGATAGTGTGAGCGGAGAGCTACAGAACTAGAAGTGGTGAGCCGCAGTGCAATATGGCAATGAGCTAAACATGGCTGCCACGGACCTCAGGTTTCTACAAACGCCTCACGAATAGTTCCCTAAACAGAACTCTCTATGCCGATATTCTGCTCCAGTCTGGAAGCACTTGTGTTTATGAATTAAACAAAACACTGCTGCTCACTCACAGTCGGGCTCAATGCGGCACCACATCTCACAACTGAGAGACAAGAAGTGCCCGAGACCTGGTGCAGAAGGAAAGGGGGCATACTAGAGGGAATTCACTTTCCTTCACCTTGTATTAATCCTGAATATTATATTTTAATATTAGTTCAAAGTTGGGTATCGTTCTCACGGGCATTTGAGTTCAGGATCACTCAAGTGCCATCTCTAGATACAGCCTTGGGGACCAATGAAATTAAACAATGGAATTAAACAAAATTGTTCCATGCCGACAACAGCCCTACTGCACTGCAGGTTCCCAGAGCTCTACGGCACTATTCAAACTCTCACCACTATCCACCCCACAGCCTCCAGCACGGAGCCCTGACTCCTGCCAGGCCTGCTCTGCGCTGAGTATCGGAGGCTTTTCATAACCTGCCCTAAGTCCCTAAGTTAGATTGCAGAAATAGTGTGCAAACCTACCTCTGCCTGAGTCTTACCTACTATGTGGTAAGTAAAGAGTAAATTATGAAATGAATGCACAGCTTGAACTTATTTGATGAGAAAGGTGTGTGTGATATCTATAAGTAGATGCATAGTATAAATAGGTACATACATGTACCAAATATGCCCAAACAGTTAGGTGTCTCTGTAGGGGTCAGCCTTATTATTTACAAAATGTTCTGCACCATGCAGGTAATCTGACCCTGGAATAGAAGCAAGAGTGCTACAGGCCTCTGGAAGACCACAACACAGGGAGACACAGAGCCAGCCACTAAGGAAAAGCATCGAGCCACTGCCTATATTCCCAGGAAGCATTCAGGCTTCTGGAAGCCTCGGTTTCCCTGGGCTGGCCACAGTCCTCAGAGATCACGGTATCCACAAGTAATACATGCCCAGGACGCTCTTGCAGGCACCGCACTGCACAACTGAATCCAGGAAAAATGTGCATGAGCCAAGAATGCACAGGACGCTCCTGCGGGCACCCCATGGTACTGGTACTATCGAATCCTGAAGAAATGTGCAAGAGCCAAGAACTCACAGGCTGCTGCTGAAAAACAAGTACCTCACCTATCCTTGGGGGCAGTAAACTTAAAGCATGTTTTGCTTCCACAGAAAACAACCATTCCTGAGTTACTTTATCACCAGAAAAGGGTATTATTCTATGGTGTTTCATGAATCTGCATGTGGGTACAGCAGGGTTACAAGAACTGAGATCTAAGTCCGCATCACTATGTTAAGAAGAAAAGGCAGCATCTTGGCCATGGACCCTGCCCCTTCTAATGTGGGGATGCTCAGGAAACACCAGCTGATTTCCAAGGCTTTCTGCCTTGGCTCTGTAAACAAGACTTACTCGGCAGGTCTGAAGCAGGCCCTCAGGCTCTGCACTTCTAACGGGCTCCAACATTCACACAAGGAGATGGTGGATTTTCTGACCCACTGCTGTAAAATGTGAGATGGCAGGCAATTTTTAATAAAGAAATAGAAGTTACATAACCAAATGAATAGCCACCACTTTTGGATACCCCTTTTGGAACTAATTTTCAAGTGACAACACACTTGTTCGTTCATTCAAGAACCTATTGCAACTTCCTGTTAGGCAT